TTGTATGGCATGTGGCTCCTGAATCTATGAGCCAGGTGTTGAGTGAATCAGATATCAAAGTGTTATTATTTCTTATTCCATATAGTGATCCTTTCTTATTTTCTCTAGGGTTATTTCTGTATGTTTGTCTTTCTCTAGAGTGTGGTGATTCTCTTCTCTTATACCTGTAATCTGGGGAGGTTCTGTCTAAAAAGTGTATTCTTCTATCCTTGTGTTTATATGAGTCACTGTATCCTATATTCTTGGGACAGTCTCTACTCTGATGTCTTTCAGATCCACATGTGAGACATTCATGTGGGTATCTGTCTCTGGCCCTGAAATCAGTCCTTCTTTGATTTCTACCTTCTCTTTGTTGTGTATATCGCTCTCTTCTAAGTCTATCTTCAGTAATAAGCTTATTGGTAAGGTTTTCTAAAGTAATTTGCTCTATACTTAGGTTATCTATTAGTGTAATGTAGTTATCCCAGCTGTGATCTAGTGAGTTAATTATAATGCTTTTCATGGTGTTGTCAGAAATGGTTTCTCCCCTTTGAATAAGGTCTGCTCTTACAGCGTTTAAATTCAAGATATGCTCACTCATGGATGTATCATGTTTTAGTTTGGCAGAATAGAATTCCCTAGAGATTTTTGTGGTAGTGGCTACATTTTTGCTATAGAACAGTCTGAATAATTTTTGATATACTTCAAATACAGTTAAATTATGCTCTATACTGGGGAGTATACTTGGGGAAATAGAAACAATTAACATATAGTATGCTTTGTGGTGGAGGCAGTCTATTTCATAGGTCCAAGGCTTATTTGGTGGGTTATCAATAAAAAATAAAACATTTTCTTTCATATATACAATCTGTAAACACTGATCCCATTCCATTAAGTTGCTTCCATCTAATTTCAATTTTATAAAGTCTGGAGGTATTGTCCCTGAGTGTAGTGAGGTGTTATTCATGTTTAGTAGCTGTCCATGATTTAAGACCTTAGCATACTCACAATAAGGCCTGGGTATGGTAGATGTATGTCTGTATTTACTTATCTCTATGTTGCGCTGACTTGTATTTATGTTTCCTTCTTCTTTCTTTGCAGGCTCGTTCTGGGCATGCTCAGTCCTCATTTTTCTCCAGCAGTCGATGAGGGAGGTTCCTGTGTCTGCAGCTCCTGGGGTGAAGTCCCAGACGGCCTTCTGTTGCTCTGCTTTGTTTCCGGAGGGCCTCTGGTGACTGAAGAATGCCTGGGGTGCTGCTCTGCTCATCGGGGAGTCTTCTCTGAGGTCGTCAGTAAGTGGAGCTTGAGGCGGGCCGCCATTGCCAATGGAGCCGGGTTGTTCAGGGAGCTGCTCTTCAGTAGGTAAGTATGATTGCCAGCTTGTCTTTCTTCGGGTGGCTAGGCCTTTCTTTAGACAGTCTATTTCTTTTTGGCCTTTGGTAGATGGTAGTTTAGAATTTTCTATTTCATTTTCTGGTTGTTTGTTTGGTATTGTTAGTTTAGTCCCGAGTGCTGCAGTTAGCACCTGTATAGCATTGTCTATTTCTACTTCAGTAGGTTGAGCTTTGTTTTGTTTAAATAATTGTTTTTTATTTGTTTTTGGACTCGGGTAATCATCTTCTTGGTAGGTTTTGTTTTTTATTTCGTAGTTTGAGGTTTGGAATTCTTTTAGTAATTGGTCAGGCATTTTAGAGGTATTAGGTGGGTAAGATGGCTGCCATGAAAAAGGCGAGAAGCTGTCGCCATCTTTGGTGTCATTTTTGAAGTCAGGGGTTGAATTTCTTACCTTGCAGTTTTCTTGTTTGTTATTTTCGTTATCTGCTGCTGTTCCGTGGTCGTTTATTATGCTGCGGATTTTCACAAGCAGATTTGATTCAGCTGTAGTTGTTTCTATTAATTCTAGTATTTTTCTTTTTACCTCATCTTCTTTGTTTGGTGTTAGCAGTTCATTTTCTTGTAATTGCGTTTGTTTCTTAATATTTTCAAGTGGTGTATATTTGTCAGGAGTTAGTTGAGCTGCCATTCTTTTCGTTATGTATCTGGTGGCAGGTCTTCTTTTGTCGTTATGTGAGTCTTGCATCTTTATGTTCGGTTGGGCCTACCAAACCATCCTCTTGCTACCAATTTGTTGCTAGTTTGGTTATCCTGGTTAGGCCCATATATAAGAGACTGTAGGCTTTCTTGTAATAGTAATATTTATTTCTTTTCTTCCTCAGGAACACAATTAGACAGGCACTAATCTGGGAGGAGCAAGAACTTATATACAGAGAAGGCGGGGCTAATGGTAAGTACTAACCAATGGTAAGTGACACAATGACATCACACAATGACATATAAACAAGCACACATATTTACAGATATCAGGTTAGGTATTTTCATCTGTAACATAAACAATTACTAGAGTTTTGGCTTACTCAGTTTCCAAAATTTTGTATGTTAGCCTCCTATCTTCTTGACAATAAATCTAACTAACGAGACTCATTGTAAATATTTCTTTCTGCACCACACTCTGCTGTTAGTGTCGTGACAGCCTCTCTGTCTATGAAGAGAAACTTGGGGATCAGGGAGAGCTGATAATGAACTTTTCTATGAAGAACCTTTAGAAAACTCATTTAATTTTAAAAATGGGCATCTGAACTTGTTTCTCCTTTCCTGCTAGCAGGAAAGGGCTGCTTTGTTTTCTGATGTTTTTCCACTGATTATGTGCAAGCTATCCTAGGAGGGTTATTTTTTTATTATTATTTTTTTTGACAGAAAAGTGAGGTATTGATGATTCAGATAAAGGGGAAAAAGTGTTTTCTTCAGAGACCTATTTTAAAATATTGATATAACAGAACAAATTCTAAAACTCTTGTTTTTTCGACAATGACTTTTAACATTTGCAGTCATTCTCACATCTGCCTTAAAAACTGCTCTCCTCTATTGCACACCTATTGTTTTTACTGAAGCTACAGTTTTGTTTTGTACTTCCGATTTCTCTGAAATTGTACAGAAGATAGTGGTTTATAGGTACTAGTTCCCCATAAGTCATTTGTGTTTTTTTCTCCTCTCTGTCCATTGTTCTGAAACTTAATATGAATTGAAACACATTGAAGAAGAAAAAAGTGTCAAAAATAAATGAATAGACCTAACTGTGTAATGTAGGTATATATTCTCAGAATAAGCAAACTAAATATATATTAATTGACAAATATTTTATATTGATTGTCCTGCTTGGCCAGTATGTAGTTATGAAGGAGATGAAATTTCAACTATATGTTGGAATTTATTACAAGAGGAAAATGAATTAAGGTTACAGTTAGCAGAAATTCTGGTAAACGAAAAGCAGGTCTTAGAAGATTTCCTCCATGGCTCAGTACCTTTAATTTGGATTTCTGAGTAGCTCAAGAGGTAATAGAATTAGTTTCTTATTGTGTCATATTTATGACTATCCTGTTTGGTTACAAAGGAAATGCAGTTGTCAAGATGATCAGAGGCAAATAGAGTTTTAAAATGTAGTCATCTATATCCAATGTTCCATAAGTGAATGACTATGTAAAATACATACACTTCGCCAGTAGCAATGAACTTCAAAGCTGATATAGTTTATAAATACATCAAAAACCTAACTTTCGTTTCCCCCCCTAAGGAGATTAATTTTCATGCATGCACCATGAACAAGGATTAATAAAATTGTGCATATCTCTATTTCTATGAGATATGTAGAAATGCAAGTAGAGTGATATCTTATAAGGAATTGTAATAGAACTGCCCCTCATTTTCTGATACAATAGTGTTCTTATTCTATTGAAAAGATTTATGAAGATTGTAAGCATTAGGGGCAGTGCTTTGACTTAGCCTGCATATACAAGTACAGGAGGACATGCCATCTCCTGAATTAGACAACCAACCCCATACTATCAGCATATTGAACTGGAAATGCTGTTCCTTACCTCTGCTCAAGCTATTGTCTCCATCATTCTTCTTCCTGTGAAATAGCCTTACTTGGTCTTTGCTTTGGCATCATTGTAAAACAACAAATGTAGTGGTGAAATCCATTTTTTTAAACTACCGTTCTGTAGGCGTGGCTTGGTGGGCATGGTGCATGGCTGGTGGGCATGGCAGGGGAAGGATACTGCAAAATCTCTATTCCCACCCCACTCCAGGGGAAGGATACTGCAAAATCCCCATTCCCTCCTCACTCCTGGGGGAAGGATATTGCAAAATCTCCATTCCCACCCCACTCTCGGGCCAGCCAGAGGTGGCATTTGCTAGTTCTCCGAACTACTCAAAACTTCCGCTACCGGTTCTCCAGAACCTGTCAGAACCTGTTGGATTTCACCCCTGAACAAATGCATTCATATTTGGCTTTGCAGCGTCAGTGATAGCACTAGATAATCTCCATTTTAAACCCCACAAATGTAATACTGTGATATTTGGAGCCTACTACTAGATCTGGTGCTTTTACAACCATACATGGAAGAAGAGAAGAAGCCTATACTGACTGTAGAAGAGATGAAGCCCAATTATATAACTGTGGAGAATATAAAAGTGAGCCTATGCCTCAGAAACCATGTTGGAAGTAAGGGCCCATCATCATAACATGGTGCTTAAGAAAATATATTCAATTTTATGTTTGTATTCATAAAATATATAAATACCTACCCACCAAATTCTCAAGAAAAACCTCAATTATAATCTAGAATCCAATATAATCTATCAGTTTCCTGGGGGTGGAGTGGGATTGAGCAAATCCTATTTCCCCACAAGTGAGTCTTGCACCAGTCAGCTAGAAGGCAATCAAAATGTGATCTGTTCATCACAACAGATTTATGTTGGTCCTCCAATACCATATCATATCACAACTGTCCCACGACCAAAAAAAAAAAATAGCAAAACTAAACAAGCACCCACCCACCCACACACAAATTTAACATGCAGCCATTGATATTTATTAGGTCATGGATGACATGGGACAACTCCATGGTTGCTATAGAAGTCACAAACCCATGAGCTGCCCCAGACTATATCCAACTAGATGGCCAATTGAAATCCCAAGTACCAACCTTGGGGACTTTATTGCCAACCAGCAATGGAATCTAGCAGCTCAAGTAGAGCTGCTGCTAGGCATCAGGGAGAACAGTATACTAGCAGCAATCCCAACTGTTTTCTGGAACCTAAAATCTAAAAGTATACTCAGCGGTAAGCAATCTTATTCCTGTATTTAGCCCTGTTACTTTTAAAGGATTGCTATTGTTTCTCTCTCCAACTTTTTAAAATAGCCTTCTTTTGGTAGGCAGCTACCTAACAGTTGTTGCAGACTAGAGTAACATATTTTATAGGTATAGATAGTTTAATTATTTCCAGCTCTGCAAAATATTTAGTTAGCGTCTTATTTATTGTTAAAGCACCAAACAGATCGTATGATATAAAAAATGAAAAAAAGCAAGAGGCAGGGCAAATTTAAGTGGCTGAATGTGATGTACCATTTGCAATAAATAATTTACTCAATTCATTTCCAATTCTACCCTTTGCAAGTTGTGTATAAATGCATGATGTTCAGAGCTTCATTGGGTAAACAAGATATGATCATAATGTTTTTCAGCAGCTAACAAATTGGTCAGCATACAACCATTCACCAGTTGCTGTATCTGTATTAAGGATTTCTTCTGAGCAAAATCACTACAGTGGGAACACTGGCATCTGTTCCTATCCACAGTTATGCCAAAATGATGAAATGTGACATGGTGTTATGATGTAAGCTCCACCTTCTAGTATTTACATTCTGAGTTAGACACAAATAAATAAGAGATGAAATTTCCATCACAACCTACTACACATTTTGTCCCTTTTCCCTTATGCCAGTAATAGATGTCTATACTGAGACTGTACTGAGACAGAAAAAAGGGAAAGAGTACCATAGTTCCCACAGTTGCAATTTTGGTTTTAACAACAATTTACAAATTGAGAGCTACGGGATTTGGCTTATTATAAACTGTTGGCAGAAAAGCTCCCAAGTATTCCTACAGCAAATAGCATTCATAAATGTTCTCAGGAATATCCAAGTTTTAATAATGAAATTTAGAGAGCTCTCTTCTCATCTAATATCTAATATCCATGTCACATTTCCAAATATAAGTTTCCTTAGGTTGAGAAAATAGAGCCAAAAGTCTTTTGAGGCAGGCCAAGATTTCAGCTTGCTAAATTGGATGTACTAGCTTCACCATTACAGTGTATCCACTGCAGGGGTGGGTTCTACTTATCTTTACTATTGGTTTGCAGCGGGGCCGCACACGCTCTTCTGCGCATGCGCAGAAGTGTTTTGATGATGTCAGGGTCGGTGGGCTGAGCCTCCCGCCGGTTTTACTACTGGTTCTATAGAACCGGTGCGAACCGGGGGCAACCCACCACTGATCCACTGTTGTTCTATGAAATAAGAACAGGATTATCCTTTTAACCTGGCATATCTTTTATAGGGACACAGGGGCTCGATGGCTAAGATGCTGAGCTTATTGATCGAAAGGTCGGCAGTTCAGCGGTTCAAATCCCTAGTACTGCATAATGGGGTGAGCTCCCATTACTTGTCCAAACTTCTGCCAACCTAGCAGTTCAAAAGCACGTAAAAAATGCAAATAGAAAAATAAGGACCACCTTTGGTGGGAAGGTAACAGCATTCTGTGTGTCTTTGGCATTGAGTCATGCCGACCACATGACCACGGAGACGTCTTCGGACAACGTTGGCTCTTTGGCTTTGAAACAGAGATGAGCACCTCCCTTTAGAGTCGGGAACGACTAGCACATATGTGGGAGAAGAACCTTTACCTTTTATAGGCGCTACCTTTTTTCACAAGACATCAGTCAATTAATTTATCAAGCAGTGTCCTCAAATAATTATTCAAGTAGTAGCATGATCATCTGAACAGTCTTTTAACAATGAAGAGTTCTTGTTATTTCTTAAAAGAGTTAGAAAATGGAAAGCAGTAAAAAGGAAATTCTAATTAAACAACAATTATATTAACATCACCACCATCTAGGGATTTTGTTACTTTTTCAGTTATATGTATGCACTGTATTCTTTTCTCTTTTTTTCCTGCTGTTTCTTACTCAACAAAGTAAAATTATATTTGAAAAAAAAATAAAAGTTATGAAAAGGTTATAAAATCATTACTAGAAGGAAAGGCTTTTAAAATTAGTGGTGGAAAGATTAGGATTTTGATCTAAAATGGACTTCTGGGGAGGCATGGGGAGCTAAATATGTCTCAAGGAGAACGGAGATTCTTTTGTATGTTCAAGGTAGCATCTTTTTCCATATCTATTCTTGTAACCCGTCATTTTAAAACTGACTTTTAGATCAATCTCTGTCATGTGTAAGAAAACTTGTTCCTCTTCCACAACCTCTTTTAAACTCAATGTATTCAGTGACATCTTTCTGAACAATTTTTCACAAGTATCCTTCAATATATGCAATGTTACAGTGTTATCCTTATTTATTGCAAGATAATAAAGTACTCTCTATTAGTGGCTCAGATTTTAGTATTCTTCTCCTTTATTTCTAACTATTCTGATTCTCTCTAATATCCAAAGTCCCATCCTATCATCATTTTTTTTTAAAGAATTCAAATCAGCAACATTTTGCCGGGGGAGGGATTCCTATAATTAATTTCAAAATCTTATTTCAAATTTATCTGGACCCTTAATCTGTTTGTAACTTTTCAAAATCAACTTCTAATCACACTGTTGCTGTTTACTTCAAAATTTTAAAGTCCTTAAATGTGTACTTAAAATTTTGAATTTAGAAATAAGAAACTTATAAACAAATTAAGGGTTCAGAAAAATTTGGAACATTGAAACTTTTACTATAAGATTCTAGAAATAATTGTATAAAAGTTTATTGTCCAAACAAAAATATTTTGCCTACTTTAAGTTGTAACAGACATTAGAAAATGACACAAAACATTGAAACATTTGAAAAACTAAAGGAGATCTTCAAGAATGGGGTCAGAATTAGTAGCTACAATATCAACAATATCTGTAATGATGTTTGCTTCTATGAATACACTAAGTCCAAAAGATATTAGTGAAGGAATAATAGATGTGAAACAAATGTTGATTGATGCATAAATAAAAGAAACAGTAATATTGGATTTTTTAGTAGTGTAGATTACAAAACAGGGAAGGCATTTAAAGTGAATTACAAGTAACAGGTAAAGAGAATGACACAGATTAAAAATTTACTGGATATACAAAACAAGCAGGCTGAAATTTTAAAAATTAAAGGAAAAATATAATAATAAACCAAAAAAAGTCACAGATAATGTCTTTTTATTGAATTTATAATAGAACCTCAAAGAAGCCTTTGTGATGATATAAAGTAGAATTGAAGAGAATTAACAAAATTATGCAAATCCTATGACAATATTTGAATGAATTAAACATTTATACTTATGTAACTTTTAATAACTCTCCTTTGTTTTTAAATTATTTCATTTTTGTATAATACATTTTAATTATTTATATTAGGTTGATAATTATGGCAAATTTAAAAGTATGAGAATCACTCATATATTCAATACAATTAAATAGATTCGTAAGTGGCTGACCAACCACACTTAGCATGTAGTCCTCAATGGAATTGCATCTATATGAAGAGAAGTATGCAGTGAGGTACCCCAAGGCTCCGTTTTACGCCCACTACTCTTCAACATCTTCATCAATGATTTGGACAAGGGGATAGATGGGGAACTCATCAAATTTTCAGATGACACCAAACTGACAGGAATAGCCAACACTCCAGAAGATAGGTTTAAGATACAGAAGGATATTGACAAACTTGTACATTGGGCGCTATCTTGCAGGGCCGAGCTGAGGAGTTTGTGAAGTATCTGTATGACAAAATCGCTCAGATTCGGGAAGGGCTGGCCTCTGACTGGGTATGTCCGGACGGGATGATTGAGGCAGGTCTTGAGAGTGTTATCTTGGGGGTGGGGGGTTTTCGATCCTGTGGCTCCCGAGGACATGGACAGGGTCCTGGGATGGCTGAATGCGACCACATGTTTATTGGACCCGTGTCCCTCCTGGTTGGTACTGGCTTCCCGGGAGGTTACACGAGGCTGGCTCCAGAAGATTGTTAACGCTTCTTTGAGTGAGGGGGTCCTGCCGGCTGCTTTGAAAGAAGCGGTTGTGAGGCCCCTCCTCAAGAAGCCCTCTCTGGATCCGGCTGTTTTGGCTAACTATCGTCCAGTCTCCAACCTTCGCTTCGTTGCGAAGGTTGTTGAGAGTGTGGTGGCGCAACAGCTTCCCCGGTACCTGGATGAAGCTGTCTATCTAGACCCGCTCCAGTCCGGCTTCCGGCCTGGGCACAGCACGGAAACGGCATTGGTCGCGTTGGTGGATGATCTCTGGAGGGCTCGGGATAGGGGTTGCTCCTCTATCCTGGTCCTGTTAGACCTCTCAGCGGCTTTTGATACCATCGACCATGGTATCATGTTGCACCGGTTGGCGGGGTTGGGGCTAGGGGGCACCGTTCTGCGGTGGTTCTCCTCCTACCTCTCTGACCGGTCGCAATCTGTGTTGACGGGGGGACAGCGGTCGACCCCGAGGCACCTTGCTTGTGGGGTGCCACAAGGGTCAGTCCTCTCACCCCTTCTGTTCAACATTTATGTAAAGCCGCTGGGTGAGATCATCCATGGCTTCGGGGTGGAGTTCCATCAGTACGCTGATGACACCCAGCTGTACATCTCCACCCCAGGCCACCCCAACGATGCCCTTGAAGTGATGTCCCAGTGCCTGGAGGCCGTGCGGGTCTGGATGGGGAGAAACAGGCTCCGACTCAACCCCTCCAAGACCGAGTGGCTGTGGCTTCCAGCGTCCCGATATAGCTGGCTGACGCCATCGCTGGCTATTGGGGGCAAATCACTCGCCCCCACAGAGAGGGCTCGTAACTTGGGCGTCCTCCTGGATGCACGGCTGTCTTTAGAAGACCATTTGACGGCCGTGGCCAGGGGGGCTTTTTATCAGGTTCGCCTGATACGCCAGTTGCGTCCCTTTCTAGATCGGGATTGTCTATGCACAGTCACTCAGGCCCTAGTCACTTCCCGCCTGGACTACTGCAACGCTCTCTACATGGGGCTCCCCCTGAGGTGCACCCGGAGGCTCCAGCTGGTCCAGAATGCGGCCACGCGGGGGATTATGGGGGCGACGAG